AACGAGCAGACAAAAAAATCGGATTTGATCAAAAAATCGGAATTGAGCATTAAGACCTGCAGTGTGAACGTAGCCAATGATATATTCATTAATTTTTCTGCTGCACACCAGTGTTTCTTCCACAAAATGCATATAGAGTGGTCTGAGCCCAGACTTCTCAACCTCAAAGCTCTGATCACCTGTTCTGATCACATTGTGCAAACAACAATGGAGGTGGAGTATTAAGAAATACGTGAACACAGTAAATCTAAAATTATGATCTGAAAACTTATTATTTGGCGCCATCGACAAGTTTCATCTTCTTGGCAAGAAAAGTACAGAATTGGAGATACCAATGACATATTCCATACCCATTATATTTTTGACCATTAACATAAATATCTGGTTGCAACATTTGTTTACATTTTCGAATAAATATACTCAGTGGAAGGCATGTAGATCTGCACCAATGCAAAACAAACACAGACTGTGAATTAATCTCATGTTACAGGTTTGATAAGAAGAAAAACAATTACTGTCCCCAGAAAGTTGGGTACATGTCAGGAATTGACTGTACAGGTGTGTTACACAGAATGCACCGTAAGACAAATGTTTTGAGTGGAATTGAATTGTCAGAAAATACAAATATCTGCCTTAAAGAGGGATGTTGCCACGGACAGGTGCAGACCATGGAGTAGCAGTGAGGAGGACCCAAAACACTATACATGGAACAATATACAGAAATACATCACTCTTACGATGAACACTGGATTTATTTATAGTGAGTGGAAAAAACACAACTATATAGAAATCCCAGCACTGTGGCCCCAGTGGCGATTCTCATTGATTCCCACACAGTGGACATGTCCATGAAAGGTGAAAAAGTAACATCTCCAAAAACACCCTCCGCTCCCCAATTCCTGGTAACACACAAACATACTCAGCTTAGCAGGATCAGCTATAATCACGACAGTGTTCTTGGTCCACCGTTATACTAACGAGTTTTGCGTTAAGGATCTAGTGCCGACTAGAGCTCAGCCACCCTCTTAAATAGGGCGCTCTTGACAAGGCCATCAGCTACAGCTGGTGATGGCTGATGAGCGGCAGGTGTGGAAGCCTCCAGTGTAGGAACGCATCTGAGAGCACAAACGTACATAAACACACACAGGGAGACGGAGGAAGAAGAGAGAGGATACAACCAAAACACTACACATGGAACAATGAACAGAAATACATGAGCCCTGGATCCCTAGACCCAGGCCATGACAGACGTAGTGGATCTCAATGCAAAATATTTATAATTTGTTTAAATTTGATTTGACATAACAAACTAAGAGTCTACCAAGGTCGATCCTTCTGAGTATTTATGTCTCCCAAACCATCAATGTGTCTTTTAAACCCCATCCTACAAGACTGTTCAAGAAAGTACTACGATTAATTAATGTTTCAATCTGATCAGCCTATCTCTGTTAATTATTTAATCTCTACAGGCCATCAGTAGTTTAACAGCAATCACTTTACCTAGCTGTTACAGCTAATTATAGGCCAATCTCCAACCTTCCTTTCATATCAAAAATCCTTGAAAGAGTAGTTGTGAAACAGCTAACAGATCATCTGCAGAGGAATGGTTTATTTGAAGAGTTTCAGTCAGGTTTCAGAGCTCATCACAGCACAGAAACAGCTTTAGTGAAGGTTACAAATGATCTTCTTATGGCCTCTGACAGTGAACTCATCTCTGTGCTTGTCCTGCTAGACCTTAGTGCAGCATTCGATACTGTCGACCATAATATCCTATTAGAGCGATTAGAGCGATGCCGTAGGTATTACAGGTACTGCACTGCAGTGGTTTGTATCATATCTATCTAATAGACTCCAGTTTGTGCATGTAAATGGAGAGTCCTCTTCACACACTGAGGTTAATTATGGAGTTCCACAGGGTTCACTGCTAGGACCAATTCAGTTTACACTATACATGCTTCTCTTAGGCAGCATCATTAGAAGACATAGCATACATTTTCACTGCTATGCAGATGACACCCAGCTCTATCTGTCCATGAAGCCAGATAACACACACCAATTAGTTAAACTGCAGGAATGTCTTAAAGACATAAAGACCTGGATGGCCGCTAACTTTCTGCTTCTTAATTCAGATCAAACTGAGGTTATTGTACTCGGCCCTGAAAATCTTAGAAATATGCTGTGTCACGCTGGATGGCATTACCTTGGCCTCCAGTAACGCTGTGAGGAACCTTGGAGTCATTTTTGACCAAGATATGTCCTTCAATGCTAATATTACAGAAATATGTACAGCTGCTTTCTTCAAGTTTTGCAGTATGTCCAAAATTAGAAATATCCTGTCTCAGAGTGATGCGAAAAAACTAGTAAATGCATTACTTCTAGGCTGGACTACTGTAATTGGTTATTATCAGGTTGTCTGAAAAACGCAGTTTTGATAAAGTGGTATAGTTTGCATTGGCTCAGGTAAACCTGACCCCTCTTTTAGTTACACTACAATGAGTGTAGGCTGCTGGGGGATTCCCTTGGTGCACCTAGTGTTTCTTATTTAGGCATCTTTTTCAGTTAATATGTGTTCACAAACCTTTCTGCATTTAATCATTAGTTATTGGTAATCTCTCACTCTTTTTAACTACATGTCTTTGTCCTGTCTTCATCTGCACACCTGCAACCGGTCACAGCAGATAGTCGCCCCTCAGAGATCCTGGTTCTATTAGACGTTTATTCCTGTCACTGTCTCCAAAGCGCTTCCTAACAGGGGTCACATGGTTGTTGGAGTTTTCTCTGTTTTCTTTGTATTATTTACCTTACAATATGAACTCCCTTGAGGCAGTTGTTGTTGTGATTTGGTACTATAAAAATACATTGGATTGAACTGAATCTTTTTCAAGATGAAACTTGCATTTATATGCAATGTATTTATTATCTATTTTTCAGCTCCACAAACATGGATGGCCCCAACAATTTGACTTCCATTATGAACAAGACCTGTGATCCAGTTGTCCCATCAGTTAACCCTTTCTTTATGCTGGTCTACAGTCTAGTGTTTGTGGTAAATTTTCAGTTTCCATTTTTTTTAGAAGTTGGTATAAGGTTCTCTGTGCATCTACCAAAGTCCTGTCATTTCCATTTTCTCTGTGTCATTTCAGGTGGGTTTACTCCTTAATGGTTTCATCATGAAGTTTTACTGTTGTCGAGTTCGGCAGCAGGCATCAAGCAGCTTGATGGTGTACATGAGGAACCTGACAGCTGCTGACTTCCTGCTCTGCCTCTCTCTGCCACTCCGCATCGCCCACTATGCTAGCAGCTCTCTCATCATTCAGCAGCTCTACTGCACAGTTGGAGCTTATGCCCTGTTCCTCAACATGTATGCCAGCATCCTATTCATGGGGTACATTGCTGCCAACAGGTAAGGAACCTTTACTAATTTCAGACTGTATTTCTTGTCATCATTGTTAATTTCAAAGCACAGACATCTCTCTAGAAGTCAATAATGTCTTCTGAAGATTTGGCACCACTGTGACTGATTAGTGAATTTTTCTACACCTTTCTTTCTATTCTCTCTCCAGGTATCTGAAGATTGTCCATCCTTCAAAAACTCACATTCTACAGAGAGTACGAACTGCCCACATCATCTCTGTGGTCACTTGGGTTTGTCTCATTATTCCAGCAGTCACCAGCAACAGCCTGTTTTTCATCACCCAGAAACACCTGAACGTCACCCCGAGACGCTGTCGTCCCCTGTTTAGTTCATTGGTCAGGCTGATCCAAAAAATCGTCCATATCTTCTCTGTTATCATCTTCCTCTCAGTCTTCATATCCCTGGTCTTCTTCTATAACGGCATCTCCCGCAGGGTGTTGCAGGCACAGCAGACACAGCTGGCCTCCTCTGGCTCTGAGAAGCTGGTGAAGTCTCGCAGGAACATGTTGGTGCTGGTCAGCATCTTCTGTGTTTGTTTTGTCCCCTATCACCTGTTTCGACTCCCCTATATTTTTCTGTCGGGAAACTGCTCTGCTGTTAAGGTGTTGTACTACCTGAAGGAAGCGGCCACCATTGTGTCAGTTTTCAACGTCTGCCTGGACCCTGTTGTTTACTTTTTCCTCTGTAAGACTTTTCAGGCCCAGGTGAATCGGAGTATGGCCTCCATAAGAGTCAACGTTCAATAAGCAAATGAGGAGAGTGTGACGTAGGCCAGTCCACTGGCTGTCACAAGAGTGACAGCATAAAGAAGGAGCTGGGAATTATTCACTGAAGAGAGAGGCAAACAAGTGTGCTGTAAAGAAATGCTCAACATCTTATAAAAAATAGATTTTTTTTCGAGAGTGAGATGAGACCAGTAAAACCAGTATCATGTATGCCAAGCCCTCACATACTAGAGAACTTTCTGTGGCGCTGAGAAATCAATGCAGAACAAATCAGCCCAAACACACTCCCACACAGAGAGCATCAGTTTATGTTGCCAACTTTCAGCTATGAGTCTGTGTCAGTTTTAGCAAACAGAAACGGAACCAGTCTGTGGTTAAATTTCTACAAACAATATCCAATGTGTGAAATCTGAATTTCAGTGTTTATGAACAAAAATATTTTAACATTTATATATAAAAACCAAAGTGAAAATTACTGCTGAAAATTTCGTCCGCAGTAATTTTTATGATTCATGACGAGAAGCAAAACATAGGCAATGCCTCAAGAAGAAGAAAATATAGGGTTTCCAGCCTGTTTTGCTACTTTAATAATTTTTCATATCTTATTTCAAAGTTTTGTTCTTCCGGGTAGAAAATAGTTTAAATCAAGACAAAACAACTAGGAGTCATAGCTCTACATTACTAGAGGGGGTCCACACAGGAAACTTTGGAGAGCAAGCAAAAGACTTCACCTGTGCCTTCAACACGTTATAATACACATTTATGCAGGTCATGTTTAAATAGCAGTAGTATAAAATGCCCTTTCATACTGAGGGACACTCAGTTCCTGGTTAACAACTGAACCTTCTCCAAGATCTTCCCATATGGCGTGCAGTAAATGCAGTCTGAGTGCTCATGGCTTGCCCATCGTCAATCATGTCGGCCAGCCAACAGCTGTAACCGCTTTCTTTCTTCCTCGATAAGGCAGGTTCAAGCCAGCTCTGACCAGGCAGAACTCTGTTGTCATGGTTCCTGTTTAATGTTATTGCTTGTCTAAATGAGTTGACTTATCAATTCATCTCTAAGAAGTTTTGAAGGATCCAATAAATGATCTAATGGTAGTGACCTATACCTTTAACAGATTGCAAAGCATTCTGGGTGAGCATGTTGAACAACAGAGACCAACACTGAGCTCTTTCTATAGTTATAAACCACAAAGTTTAAAAGTAACCAAGCCGATTTACTGCACACATGGCTTAGCTTTTAACCTTTCTTCTTCCCACCTCACGCTAACACGTAGCTCAAACTATCTTTACTTCTGATTTGTCTTCTTTCAAATGTTTCGATGCTATAGTTCTTAAATCAATAAGTCGTTACCCTTCAGTTGTTCTGTGTTTTAAGAACAGTAAAGTGAGTCAGTTTCTTTGACGTGGACTGTGTTTTTTCAGCCTGCAGTTTGTCTGTGTAACAGATACTAACTCTAGCTCTGTGGTTGTTCAGTTTCCTGTTTCGAATCAAAACTTAGCTGCTCACATTTTACTGCAGGGTAAACTGTGTGGGTGTAGGTAAAATGTCCTATAAATGTCCTACACACACACCTACACACATTTCTACATTTTAAAGTAAACTAAATATATTCTATAACTTAAATACAGTTGGTACATTGCAATAAACCAACATGTATGAAAATCACATGTCAGCTTTAATTCTGTATAGACCGCAGAGTCCACAGATATACACGCACTGGAAGGCAATATGGCTGCTGCAACAGAAGCAGTTACCAGTGCCAGTCCCTCTTCCCTCTTTAATGGTTTTATTTCAACCCTCAACATAGCCTGCTTCCTTTCAGCCAGACTCATAGTTCGAAGTGAAAGATGAACTGATAAAATCTTTATTAAGGTATTCAGTAATCATAACTGGATGTTCAATATATTTAAAGAGTCATTTAGAAAACTTTACCTGCTCTTTATCAGTTGAATTGACAGGACAACATTGGAGCTTTGCATGAAGTTCAGATTTACAGCAAACATGAATGCACCAAAAATGAATGAACACTTGTGTGATCTTTGATGTTTTGTGTGTTTGTATGTTGCACTTCTTCCTGCACCGAGGGAATCACTTGATAAAACCTGTTACTGTGGATCATATTTAAGCCTCTTTGTGGCATTGCTCCACCAAATGATCATGCTACTTCACCAAATGTATATATCTGTATTGTGAGCAACATGTGAGCTGAAATGAAATAATGTTCAGGGTTTATGCTCATATTTTAAGATTTACGATACATGTTAACAACTCATAAATTGTTAACAATCAGGAAGTGGTTTCGAAGTCTGAGACTGGGGTCAGACTCATTTTACATGGCGGGCCACATATAACCACATAAATATCTATGGTAGAAAGTGTAAAACAGAATTTCTTGTGGAATTTTTTCAACACCAAACACAACTGTAGACTTGGTCTCAAAGCATACTGAGAGACAGAGCTGTGCAGGAAGTGAGATTTTATCTTGGTGAAAGTAAAATTCACGATGTTTTTCAAATGTGGAGCCTAATTTTGATCTTCTGTTTCTGTTAGTTCAGGGAATTTTGGTCAGACAGTGATAAAAGGTTTGGTTAGTTTGAGAGCATGTCCATGTACATCTATCATGTCCATCTTTTTTCAGAGTCTGTGTACCTGCTCTTTAATCGTTTGCTGTTTTGGCTTTTTGGTGGTTGTTGATTCTGACGTTTCTGTGGATAACACGTGTCTATATTTAAATAACAGATCAGTGATACATCCTGTTAAACTAGATGTTCTTCCTCTCATCCCCAAAAGGTTCAACAATTCATAACTTTATAAATTCTGCTCTCAGCTTTGTCTCTAGTATCACTGAAATGCAGCCAGATGCTCATTTTATGTTTCCACTCGTTTCTTCACTTTTTTCCAACGTCCCACTCTGTCTTTGCATGTGATTGGCTGCATGGTGCGCCCATCAACATAAAGCCCCGCCCCTGCCTGCATGGATTCTCAGCAGGGCTGGAGATTCAGCTCCTACATACCTAATTAATGACTGACATTTGAAATTATCACAAAACAAAACAAGAGACGTACATATGTTACTTTTGAAAACAAAAGTCTGTGACTGTGGGTCAGCCGGATTGCCCGACACTCAAACACCCACCTGTTCCTCGGGTTTACTTCCTGAAAACCTCTGAAACGTATGCTCATCTTTCCGGGTTTACAGAGCAGCACCAGCTATGGGAGCACAGAGAAAACCCAACACAGACCTCTAGCATGACCGGATTGGACTGCATGAACTGCGCTTCAGTAAAACAAAGAAAAGACAGGTGGCGTGAGCTGAGCCGTCACAAGTGCAGCTCAGTGACGTGATATTAGTGACACAGCCACAGACTTTGCTGAGACTCTCTTCTTTGATATCAGTTACCACACTAAACACTTCCTGCTGGATCTCTTTCAGATTAAAAGGTTATTTGAAATGAGGTGACTGCAATACTTTTAATGTGAAATTAAGAGAGGAAGTGCTGCGTTTTATTCTTTGCACTCTGACATCGTGCAAGAGCGGATGTGGTTTTTCCCTGTAATAAATTAGTAAAATATAATTTTAAATGGGTAAAAAATATTAGTGCATATATGAAACAGTATCATCGTGTTACCATTTAGAAATGTACTCTTCAAATAAAAAAATACTGAATTTGTTCTCTTTGTGCCGGGTTCAGTAGAATGTTGGTTTAAATGTTTTACACATCACTGAAACTTCGTTAAATTTACATTTTGTTTCATACATTTATTATTTACTGTACAACAAGTAGGAAAGGAGTTACATGTTTACATTACCCACTAATGTAAACTGTTTCCAGATCTGTTCTCTCTTTTCAAAAAAGAAGCCCTAGTTTTGGTTCCTTTTCTTCTTGTTTGCATGTTTATTTCAGGACTTTTACAATACATTTTAAAAGTTGCCAAGTCATTTTTTTTCAAACCTGATATTTCTGACCTGATAAGGTGCTGTATTTCATTTAAGATTAAGCAGAAAATGTCAGGATAGGCTTTTATTTGTAGGCCTTCTTTTTGATATCAAAATCTGACAGTGACATCAAAAGCACTGTGGTGATTTGCTGCCACCTGCTGCCTGCTTCCTGTCACTGCTCAGGTTGTCCATCTCCCAGAGGAAACTGTGGAGCTACATCAGAAAACTAACTGTATGATATGACCGTGATCCATGATGAGCCTTGGGTGGGGTGGCTCAGTAGTGAATATGGGGATTGTTGAGTGAAGACAAAGTCCTTCAGCCAGGTCAAGTCAGCATACTGGGGCAAACTGCAGATCCTTTTCCTGAATTCCTTCTACCTCTCGGAAAAAGGAAAAATCCACCGTCCACGGAGCTGATTCTGAAACTCCTCAAAATTTACAAAACAAAATCTGCTGGGTCCACTCTAGTCGGAGTCTGCTGTCCGGATCATGGATCCGGATCATCAACAAAACACCAAAACATAACAAATAACCTAAACTGGGAAATAAAATAAAAAAGACATGTGACATGTGTAACAGGAAATAAGTGCTGGTTAGCGGTGTGGCCATCATTTCCTGATCTGCAGCAGCACTGTTACACCAAGAGCACAAAACAACTGAAGCAGCTTTTCCTGCTCACTGAAACCTCCAGAAACACAGGTGAGTCCTGCTGGTTAATCATCCCTGAATCTTTTGTGCTTCTACTGAATTTATGCTTGACTTCAAAGATGACTTAACATTTCCTGACCTGGGGACCAGAAACACTTAAAATCAACTGCACACAGCTGCCTCAGCACCACTGCTGCCTCTATCAGGATGCATGTGTAATGACACCATTACAAATTTCTCACTGACTAAGGCTTAGGTGCGTCCTGGTGCCACGTGGTGTAATAGTCATCTTTACACTTATATATGTGGTTCATAATGAACAGTCTGTCATTAGCCCATCATTACATTCAGTGCTGTGTGTTCAGTAATCCAATATTCAGTCATTCTTCTGCTGCACAAAAGCGTTTCCTTCAAAAAATACATGTACGGTTATGCGAGCAGTGAACCTCAAAGCTCTGCTCATCTGTGCTGAGCAAAGTTGTAGAAAACGGTTTAACAGTTG